CATGTGTTGTAAAATATAAGCTCAGAAACATGGTTATGACCATATATAAAGTGTAATTAACATAGGCTAATTAAGCTTGCTTAGGACAAATTGCTCCCACTTAGTTCTGATTAATTCTAATTATTTTGGTCCGAATCAAATTTTAATTAAAGTTGCCTTAAAATTGTAAATATTCTAATTAGCCTATTAGGTTAGTAATTTCGACTTCTTAAGTCGTTTGGGCTTTCAATTTTTGATTCTAAGTTGGTAAGTAAATAGATATTCCATGTATCAACAGATAATCACGAAACTAAGCATGTAGTTACACATTCAAACATACAATCATGCAATTAAGCTTATTAAAATACTGTAATATAATACTACGGAGGTCAGGGTCGTCACACCTGCATTCACCGCTCGAGCGAAATACATTGGGCTTCATCACACATGGATACATTAAATAGATTGTGCATTTGTTCCATTCTCGGTGGCAAAGCAATACGGCAGGCAACAGAACCTAATCTCACAACAATTTGAAATGGCCCGATGTAGAGAGGAGTCAATTTTCCCTTTCTGCCAAACCTTGTCTGCCCTTTCATCGGTGTTACTTTAATAAATACATAATCCCCCCGTCATACTCTAAGTCCCTCCTTCGTTATTCCGCATAGTTTTTCTGTCAGCTCTGTGTAGTTTTGAGCCTTTGCTGAATGATTTTTATCTACTCGGTTGTTTCTTGCACAAGTTCTATTCCATAGATAGCCCTATCACCAACCTCTGTCCAACAAACTGGCGACCTACACTTTCTGCCATACAGTGCTTCATATGGTGTCATACCAATACTAGCGTGAAAACTATTGTTGTAAGCAAACTCAACCAATGGAAAATATATTTTCCAGCTGCCCTGAAAATCCAAAATACACATACGAAGCATGTCTTCTAAGGCCTAAATAGTCCTCTCTGTTTGCTCGTCAGTTTGCGGATAGAATGTTATACTAAACCTCAACTTTGTCCCTATTGCACTCTGTAGACTATGCCAAAATCTAGAAACAAATTTTAGATCTCTATCTGATACAATGGACACTGGAACGCCATGCAATTGAATAATCACATCAATGTAGGTAGTAGCAAGTCTATATGTGTTAAAGGAAGTTTTCACAGCAAGAAAATGAGAAGATTTTGTCAATCTATCTACTATAACCCAAATAGCATTCATACCTCTAGTTAATCGAGGTAGTCCGACAATGAAGTCCATGGTTATATGCTCCAATTTCCATTTCGGAATAGGGAGGGATTGAATTAAACCTGTCTGTTTCTGATATTCTGCTTTCACTTGTTGGCATTATAGACATTTGGATTTGAAGTCAACAATCTCTCTTTTTATGTTTGGCCACCAATACTCTAACTTCAAATCTTTGTACATCTTGGTATTTCTAGAATGCATAACAAACACTGACTTGTTAGCCTCCTCTAAAATCCTCCGTTCCAAATCTATATCATTAGGAACACATATTCTCCCTTGAAATTTCAACACTGAATCTTCAAACTCAGTTTAGGCTTAGTTTCAAACTCATCACAAATCCTTTTGAAAAACTCATCATTCACTTGTTTATGTTTGATTTCTTCAATAATTGCTGGTTGAGCGAACATTGTGGCTATCAAGCTATTTTGTTCAAAAGGCACCACTTCAAACTCAAGCTTTTCAAATTCTTGGAGTAACTCTCTCTGATTTGTGAACAAACAGACTAGATTCCCCACATTCTTTCTACTAAGTGCATTAGCCATTGTGTTGGCCTTGCCCAGATGATAGTGGATTTGTAAATCATAATCCTTGATCAGTTCAAGCCATCATCTCTATCGCATATTCAATTCCTTCTGTGTGAAAAAGTACTTCGGGCTCTTATGATTGGTGTACACTTCACATTTAGCTCCATACAAGTAGTGACCCCATATCTTCAATGTAAACACAACTGCAGCAAGTTCCAGGTCGTATGATGGATAGGTTTTCTTATGTGGTTTCAACTGTCGGGAGGCATAAGCAATCACTTTGCTATTCTGCATTAAGACACAACCCAAACCTTTATAAGATGCATTACTATAAACTACAAATCATTTCGTACCTGAGGGTATAGTAAAGATTGGAGCTTTGGTCAATCTTGTCTTTAATTCTTGAAATGCAGACTCTCTTTGGTCTGTCCACTCAAATGGTTTCCCTTTTCAAGTCAATTGGGTCAATGGCACTGCAATTTTTTAGAAGTCTTTAGCAAATGTCCGATAATAACCTACCAGTCCCATAAAACTACGAACTTTTGCCATGTTAGTCGAAGTAGACCAATCAACAATTGCTTTGATTTCTAAGGATCAACTGAAATGCCATCTCTGTTAATAACATGCCCCAAAAATATAATTTCATCAGGACAAAACTCACACTTCTTAAATTTCTCAAATAGTTTGTTCTCTAAGTGTCTAAAAAGTCATTCTCAAATGCCGTTCATGTTCATCTTTACTTTTCAAATAAATCAAAATGTCATCAATAAATACAACAACAAAATAATCCAAGAAAGGTTTGAAAACTCTATTTATCAAATCCATAAATGTTGTGGGTGCATTAGTGACTCCGAAGGCATAACTAGAAACTCATAATGTTCATACCTGGTTCGAAAAGTAGTCTTCTCAATATCTTCAGCCCTTACTATAGCTCAGCTTTTCCATGCCCCCTTTCGGAAGTCAAAATAAGCCCTACAGTATCAGACTCCCGTGGTTCTAAATCTGATTCCACAAGTGCAATGTGAAATAGATAAATACCAAAGAGTCCCAATTTGGAAAATCTTTTGAAAAATCGATTTTGAATTAAATTGCCAAAAATAGACTGCTTTTCCAGATACAGAGTCGCCACCTAAATATTTTTATTTTGGAAAAATTTAAGAAAGCCCTGAGTCATGCCAAAGGTTACGTGTCCGTTATCACCAAGATAGTCTCAGCTCGGGAACTTAGGTATGAGAGGGAAAGGTCATGAATGAATTGAGCACCCCTGCTCACCCGATCAAAGATCGGCCTTTACTAATCATGATATGAATCTTATTTACATTATATGCTCTTGTTTTGGTTTATTAGGCTAGCATTGCTATGTGATGCGCATACACATAAGTATAGACTAACTTTGCGAGAATTGGAACACTTGATTCAAGTTTGTTTTTGAAAATTGTTTCGAAATATGTACTACTTGAAAAAGTAATCGCATATGAACATTACGCAAATTATTCCAATTCAAGCAATTAGCCTTCACCCATAGGCATTCAGGCAGTTATAGCATTTAAGCACTTAGCCTCATGGTAAGCACGCTTTGACATGGCAACAATCACATGCATGCGATATGCTAAAGCAAGTAAAAGGCTCAACTAGTACTCCAAGCCAAAATAAACAAAAGAGTTAGAAAAATACATGATTCCTAACTATGCAATATAGCTAATGCAACACATGCGATATACAATTACTAGCTCGGCTATTAATATGGCATATGAAACAATTTTGATAGCATGCGGTCTAAGCACATATTCAAAGAATGTATTAAACTAACAATACAAGTTAGTATGATGAACCGAGCCTCAGTCACTACTACAAAAATAGTTAAAGATCACACTTTGACCAAAAAAAAGATCTCACTTTTATTGGAAGTGTGATAAAAAAAATTAGATTGATATTTTAATCACACTTAATTTGATTGAGTGTGATAATATTTATTTTTTATGTCACTTTTCAATTAAGTGTGATTATATATATATATTTTTAATCACACCTTCTAATTAAAGTGTGATTATATATACACTACTACTTTTTAATCACAATTTTTAAACAAGTGTGATTATATATTTATATTTTTAATCACACCTTCTAATTAAAGTGTGATTATATATACATTACTACTTTTTAATCACACTTTTTAAATAAGTGTAATTATATATATATATATATATATAATCACACTCCCTAAATAGGTGTGATTGTATAAAATATTTCAATTTGATTTTTACATAAAATATACAATTTCCAAATCCACGCCTCTATTCTACCCATGAATGATAGAGACAACTCACTACTAGAAAATGAGGCTTTAGACACGGAACTTTTTGCAACGGTTTGAAAATCGTCGCAAAAAGCATGATTTTGTGATGGCAAAAAAAATCATCGCGAAATTAATTTTTTTGCGACGGCATTTGACTGTCGCAAAAAAGGCATCAACTAAATACCATTATTAGAGACAGAAAATCCAAGGCCGTGACAAAAAGTAATATTATACGCAACGGTACATTACTTATCTCTTCTCCTTTTTTTTTTTTTTTTTTTGCAGTGCCTTTTGTTAATCCGTCGCAAAAGATTTTATTTTGCTCATTAATGATGGTCCTTAAACTCGTCGCAAAAACTTAATCCATAATTACCTTCGCTCCCTCTCCCACCCCCTTCCTTTGTCTCGCTCATCCCTAAACTTTCAGACTTCTCTTCGAATTAAAAAAAAAAAAAAAAACTCACTATTACAAAAACATATAAATATCACACTTTGATAAATGAAAATATCTCACTTTTATTAGAAATGTGATAAAAAAAATTAAATTAATATTTTAATCATTAAGTGTAATAATATTTATTTTTTATGTCACTTTTTAATTAAATGTTATTATATATTAATCACACTTTTTAAGTGTGATTATATATATATTTTTAATTAAGTGTGATTATATTTATTTTTTAATTAAATGTGATTATATTTATATATATATATATATAGTATCACAGTGGAAACACAAACAAATCAAACCCTCTCTCCCCCCGTCTTCTCCTCTCCACCACTCACTTAGCAATAGCTAGGTTTTATTATCTTTCTCTCCCCTGTATTAGAAACCCTAACTTTGAAACTCTCATCCCCAACAACAACAATGACCATCAGTGTAGGATTTGCCATCACCATCCGCCGTTGCCCGTCACGCAGCACCTCCTTCGGCCGCAGAACCACCACCTTAGTGCCGACGATGGCAGATCTTGAAGGACTACCAAACCCTAGAGAGCTACGGGTAATTCAATCGATTCTCACCGTACTCATTTTTTGTATATGTGAATGTAGATATAGATATTAGCATTGGAATTTGAGTTAAATGCTTTGGTACCCAACTCAATTTCATTTGTAATCCATTATCCATCAATCTCTCTGTTTTTCTAGAATTCCCAATTTAACACTAACAAACACTCATCAATTTCATATGTGAACTCTTTCTATGATTTCTGTACACCAGATTTTCGTTTCACTCTCTTTCTCACTTGCATGCATTTCTTATTATTCTCTCTCACTAGCTTTTATATGATACTTTCCAACCATCAATGGCGGCTCTAAAAATCAACATCTTTAGTGGGTTTTATTGAGTTTTGTCTCATACGAACTTGACAAGTAAAGGTTGGTACTTTGAATTTGCTTTGTATGTTTCTTCGAACTTCTTAGATTCATAGAGAAATTGACTACGGACTTTTGAAATTATAGAGTTGCTCGTTTTGCTTGTCGGTTCTGGACTTTGTAGTGTGTAGATCTAATGAAAAGGAATGTTTTGCATTTATATGCAATTGATTGATTCAATTTCGCATTGAATTGTTGTACGTGAATTTTGTGTATAATACGTATACATCAGTGTAAATGAGATGATCTTGGTGTTGGTGCAAATTTACTGTGAAACTTGTGTCCTATGCGTGTGCTCAGATGCACTCGTTTTTGGAAGGTGCAATTAAAATTATAATTATAAGAAATTCAGTATGAGATTATGAGGAGCACCTCAATCATAACATTATTATGTGTTAAAGTTTGCTACATAGCTGTTCAAAAGGGAATTAGAAGCGGGAAACAGTAGTGTAGCGAGAACCATGGTTTGGTAATACCATGTGAAATGGTAGTAGATAGGTATTTGCCAATCATTTTGATAATGAGAAATTTTGAAGACTTTTTTTATGTGATTTGTGTTAGTGGAATGATCATTTGGTACTGGTAGTGATATCGAGAAATTTGTCAAAGTGATAAATGTTGGGGATATTTTGGCTTTTGTTTGTGAGTTTTGATTTATTTTTAGTTTATTTGTGTTATGTGGGAAGTGTAAGTAGTTGAATTGTTTGTTTGTTTGTTTTTTTAAAATTCTCAGTGATAAATGTACTAAGTTATTGTATGAACAGTACAAAACTAAGTTATTTGTAGCCACTGCAAGTACCATTTAATGCATTATTTACTGAGCTGATATATATATACTTTAATTCTCGTTGTTTTTATGACTACAAGTTGCATCATGCAATTTTGGATTTTTGTTTTTATATTTTTTTAACTTGTTTTCATTATTCATATTGATCATCAAGCCATCCAAATTGTCCCTTGTATGCAGAATGGCAGTGCTGCTCTAAAGTCACGCATTCCTCAAATGGTTACTCAAACACTGGGTTTTGGCCAAAAACATGATGCAATTGTTGATGTACCGTTGGATTCAATGATTGTAATCAATTTACAATTTGAATTTATTGTTTCATAGTATTGGGAGCACTGAGTTGTATATCATGTGGTGTGATATGGCAGGATCCTAAGAAAAAGGAGAAGGAACTTGCAGCTTGGGAAGCAAATCTAAAAAGGAGAGAACGTGTTAGTTTTGCATTTCATTATCAAGAATATACTTGCAACTGTACCTCATAAATCTGTTTGTATTTTCTTATTTGTAAATTACTTATTTGACTGCCTTCAAAATAACAACCAGAGTTCTTCATGATTTGATGATGACTTCTTTAGATGTTGCCATTATCTCAATAGATATATTGATTGTGTACACTTTTTAAGATATTTATATACTTGTTTTCAATAGTGCTGATGCATGCTATATTTTTCAAGAAATTAAACGAAGGGAAGATACTGTTTCCAGTGGTAAGCCATGAGATGAAGGCCAATACGTATATATTGCTTTGAGAATAGTTTTATATGCTTTTCCTGGATAATGATATTTTCTGATTTATTTCTTCTAATATTGCATTTTCAGCTGGTGTCCCTTCAGATGATAAAAACTGTCCTCCATGTTTCCCAATTATTCATCATGATATAGGCAATGAAATTCCTGTTCATGCTCAGAAGTTGCAGTATTTGGCTTTTGCAAGTTGGTTAGGTATGGATGGCTTCATTTTTCTGATTTGAGCATTTTCCTTATTCGTTTTATGTGTCGACTTCTGAGTTTGATCACCATATACTGGCAATATTGTTGTCTTAGCTAGTTGCTTTCTTTAAGAAACACCCCCTCCCTGCCTCTGGGCTGCCAAATGAATGAAATAATAAAATAAAGCGAAAATCAATCCTCATCACCTGTTCATTTTCATAGATGAGTTTTTGATATATGAATACTCATGATCAAATTACTGTTTTTTTACTTCATTGACTGCCTGAATATCAATGAAGTGTTGATTATCCAGCATTATATATTATATGTTTTAGTTGAGTTTAAATATAGAGGATAGTTTCATGACAACTTATTCCTACACCACCTCCACCATCACGACCACCACCAGAAAGAAGTCTTACAAGGTTAATATTCGAAATTGGATGACACAAGAGTAAATTTTTTTCCTCCTTTTTTCATTTATATTGTCTTTCTAATATAACTTTGGTAAGAAGACTTCAATTGATCTGCATTTCTTTTATATATAACTTAGCCTGTTTCACTGATATTTTCTTTCCCCTTTACCCCACTTGCTATTGCAGGCATAGTTCTTTGCCTTGTATTTAATGTTATTGTTGTGATAGTTTGTTGGATTAGAGGTGGAGGTAAGGCTTCTAATATTTTCTTTTCTTCCATACTTTGGGCATATGCATAAAAGTGTTGACAGGCTGCAATATAGAACTTCTGACGTGGTCACTATTTCCAGGTGTAAAAATATTTTTCCTGGCAATAATCTATGCTCTACTTGGATGCCCTCTTTCATATGTCCTATGGTATAGGCCACTTTACCGTGCAATGAGGTATTCAGCTGTTCTTGTTTTGGCTTTTCATTTCCCAATTTCATCCCGTGCCATCTGTGGGAAATTTCAAAATTCATGTACACTTTTTTCCAGTGGAGGAGGGACGTTAGTAGGCCTCCCCATGCCCCATAATCCCTTCAACCTGGCAGGATTCAATCCTAGGTCTCTTATATGACTACTAATGCTTGGCCAGGTATTTTAAGATAATAATGTATTTTCTTTATGATTTTTCATACGCTTGTGCCAGCTGTTAGTGTTTGCACTTATTCTTTGGTAGACAGACATGCATGAAATGGGTAGCTCTATTTGTGGGGCTTCTGGAGTAAAGCCACATTTACCTCTAGCCTCTTGTAAATCATAGTCCAAATTTTCTCATTTTTTTAGCACTATAATACTATTTGGTAGGTTTGGCATTTAGCAAGTGACTCTGGTAATTTTCAGGTTAATCTTGAATACCTTGGACGGGTTGTTTTCTACACAAATGGCATTCTGTACCCTGATAGCGTGGTTGGAACTGATTCCCATACAACTATGATTGCTGGCTTAGGAGTTGCTGGCTGGGGAGTTGGAGGAATTGAATCTGAGGCTACAATGCTTGGCCAGGTATTTTCAGATAATAATGTATTTTCTTTATGATTTTTCATACGCTTGTGCTAGCTGTTAGTATTTGCACTTATTCTTTGGTAGACAGACATGCATGAAATGGGTAGCTGTTTTCTCTTCTTTTTCCTCCAAAGGTGCAAAAGAAAATGCAGCCTCTGTTTCTCTAAAACCTGCTGCTGCTGGTGATAGTAACTGCAATGTATGTACTCTCCCCTCCCCCCCCACCCAAAAAAAAATGGAGTAAATTCTTGAGTTTTTATTTATTTATTTATGGGTACCTAGAATTATGGTTTAACAGTAATAATAATATACATTCACAAAAAGACCGTAAACAAGCTGTATTGAGATTTATCATTTTTAAATATTGTGCTCATTAGTGACCTCCTAATTACAATGTCATTGACATTGAGCTGCTATGGCATCTAATTGTTAACAGGGAAGTTATTTCCAAAAGAATTAAGATCAAGCAGAAATGATTAATGTTCTTATTTTGGTTTGCTGAATTAACTTTTTAGTTTATTCATATACATCAGCGGTTTCTGGATTAATTTGTGTTTTCATTTTTCAGGTTAGAAATTTTTTGGAGAGAAGCAAAATATGGTCCAAGAATTAAAGAACTTAGTTTTTTAAGTTTTTTTATTTTTTAATATATGTAAGCACAGTTAATTTTTTTTTATTTAATTCCTTTGTATATACTTTTGAATATTTAATTTCCATTTATGAAATATATGACGTTATTCTATTCAATATGTGGTTATGATTCAAAATATAGTATATAGTGTGTATTACATTCTTCAAATGTGCATACAAAAATAAAATTGATTATTTTTCAAATATGTCGAACCCTTTTTTTATCACAGATTTTATTAGTTATTAATCACACTTAAAAGATGTGATCTAAATGTTATTAATCACACTTAAAAGATGTGATGTAAATATTTTTAATCACACTTAAAAGGTGTGATCTAAATGTTATTAATCACACTTAAAAAGTGTGATTAAAAATGACCCTTTTTAATTACACTTCTAAAGATCACACTTAAAAGGTGCGATCAAAATATTTTTAATTACACTTAAAAGGTGTGATCAAAATATTTTTAATCACACTTAAAAGATGTGATCTAAATATTTTTAATCACACTTAAAAGGTGTTATTTAAATGTTATTAAGCACACTTAAAAAGTGTGATTAAAAATGATCCTTTTTAATCACACTCCCAAAGATCACAATTTAATAAAACTTAAAAGGTGTGATTAAATAACATACATCACACAAAAAAAAGTGTAATCTTTATTTGTTTTTGTAGTAGTGAGTGCATGCAATACAAATGGATGCAAACATGAAGTATGCTAAACAAAACATGATGTCTCTAAACTAACCATCATAAGCTAGTAAATAAAAGGGAGAAAGACGTGGGACTGCATGACATACATGTTATTACAACATAGCGCTCTCACGAATGAGAGTCCGAATGAATAAACTAGTTAACTAACTAACTAACTAAAGCTAAGCTAATTATTACAAAACAAATTAAATTAGCTAAACTACTTAACTAATTATTACAAGAAATTAATGAATTAATTAACTAACTATTCTAGTTAACTAAAATACTTACAAGACGAAATCGAGTAACTAGTTAACTACCTAGTTAATTACAACGCTTTACAAAATTAATTAGTTACAAGTAATTAATTACAACAAATACTTAAGCTAAGTATTTAAACTTAAACATGCTCAATACGTGAGGAATGCTCATGCACATGCTCAGTTTCCACCCGAAAAGCCACTGTTTTGCTTCAAGAAGGCCTCTGTTGCACAACAGAACACTTACACTTTTGTCCACTTCAAGAGTAACTCTGTTATGCTCAAGAAACATGCTGCTGAATTTTGCATCAGTGGCCAGCTAGCCAGTGGTGAGGGCCCGTCGGCCATCAAAGGTGGCCTGTCGACCACTGCTACAGGGTTCATCTTGCTGCAATAGAGAACAAACAGAGCATGCACAGGGTATTCTCAAGGGTTGTCTGCACAACTCACCCATCCTTATCATGAGCAAATCAAAGGAGAGATAAGACTTGGTCCGCAAACCATCAACTCGAGCAATTTCATTGCATGATGGCTTATGAACCAAAGTATGCAATTTCAATAAATGCAACAAAACAAGACACAAACCTACTCCCTTTTATGAATTGATCAAGGGAAGTAGTGACCTTGGAAACTTGAATCATTTCATCACTAATGAGTATGAAATGCCTCAAGCTTCCATATGTTCAATTAACGTCTAATTGAACACAACACTTTTTATTATATTGCACCATTTTGGTCCCAAGTTTTAATTACTCCATCTTAGATTACCATTCATTCTTTAATTCATTGAGTCCAATGGTGAGTTTAAGTCCTCTAAAAGCAAAAAAGGCTCAAACCAAGTGTTGTTTTTGGCATGAAAAAGACATCATACCGTTGGTAATAAACCCCCTAAGGGATTAAACCATTAAGCATGACATCTCAATCTCATGCTTTAAACAAACAAGTTGTTTAAACCACTTTCAAAGCAAAACAAAAGCCAAGAAAGGAGGGAGATTGTAGAGATGATTAAGAGTGATCACAAGAATGGAAAGCCATAAATAAATGCAATCAACTCAAATAAGATGGTGTCTAAGGCCTAGAACACCAACCTCATTAGGACAATTACACTACAAGCATGCAAAACAAAGCTCAAATGCAACTATCAACCAAACACAGTGCTAAAATAGTTTTAAAATAGTCCTAAAGCATGCTGAAATTAAGCTAAAAAAACTAGATTAATAAGCTAAAACATAGCACAAGCTAGGCTAGTAAGCAAGACACAAGGAGGGGAGGCTAACCCCCTCCAAATTTGGACTTCAAAACATGATTTTAGCCACTGAAATAACTCTAAAAACTGTGTTAAAAAGCTTAAAAAGAGTTGACAACAAAGTGGGAAACACAAGGGCAAAGGCCTTAGAAGCAAGGTGTAAAGAAGGGCTATCAGCCCCTCTACCTTTAATGACCTTAAACCACAAGTTTCAACCAAAAAATGCAGGTTTTAAACAGTCCAAAACACAGTAGAAAAGATGGAAAACAAGTAGTGTAAAGATGGTATTAAGGCAAGAGAAGGTATACCTCTTGAAGAGGAATGAACCCTTAAGTCATAAACCACTAATTTCACATTCTCAAGTGCTTCAAGAGCTCAAATTCAAGCTCAAATCATCTCAGCAAGAAGCTCTTTAGGTTTGATTTAGAGTGTTTGGGCAAAGGCTATGCAAGTTGCAAAAGAGAGAGAATTGTAGAGAGAGAGAGGATACTTTCCAAAATTATTTCCTCACTCCTAAATGTTTCTAACCTTGAAAGCAAGAAGAGAAGTCCTCTATATATAGAAATATATGAGCTTCAGTCAAAAATATCAAGAAAGGGGCAGCTGGAGCTTTGTTGAAATAGCTGGCAAAAATATCTGGGTTTTACACTAGTAGCCGGCAAGCCAGAAGTGGTGGCCAGCCGGCCAAAAATGGTGGCTACCGGCCACCTGCTGGCCACAAGAAATCTGCATCTAGGCCCAACTTCAAATAGGCATATCTCATTCATCCGGACTTGGTTTTAGGTCATTCTTGAATCTAAATTGAAGCCCCAGAAGTCTACTTTCCAATGGTGGTAGCCTCACATTTAAATTCTAAGTGTGCAAAGAGATATGCCTATTTTAGTGAAGGTTTCTTATTTCTATCTTAACCGGATTAATGCCTAACTTCACACAGCCATATCTCCCTCATCCGAACTTGGCTTTAGGAGATTCTTGAGTCTAAAATGAAGCCCCAGAAGTCCACTTTCCAATGGTGGTGGCCTCACAACTAAAGTCTAAGGGTACAAAGAGATAGGCCTGATTTAGTGAAGGCTGCTCAGTTCTCTTGTAATGGTTTGATGCTCAACTAGTTTTCTCTCCTCTCCTCTAATTTTCTTCCACTCCAAACCTATAAATAAGAGGTTTTTACAATTTTTTCAAAGAGTTCACCTCTCTTCCATTTATTTCCATTTTGGCCTTGCTCAGTTTACCAAAAAGTGTAATTTTTAACGAAATGCGAGCCTCGGAACATCATAGAAACATTTTCAAAAATATTTTGAAAGAGAGGGTTTTAAGGTCTAAAAAAAGTTTTGGTCAAAAATGGGGTGTAAGGTTGGGATTTAGAACTCTCCTTGCTGAAGAAATCGAACGTTTGCATAGCATAACTTTCATCATTGAGTGATCAATTAGTGGCGCCCAAGTCTTAAGAGCAATCAAAAATGGGGTGTCTACACTTACTTTTAACTGATGAGATCTCGATCTCAAATCAATTTTGGAGAATACTTGAGCCTCCTGTAACTGATCAAGTAAATCATCAATACGTGGCAACAGGTATTTATTTTTCACGGTTACCTTGTTGAGTTCTCAATAATCAATACATAGTCTAAGGGTCCCATCTTTCTTTTTCACAAAAAGTTCTGGTGCACCCCATGGCAATGTACTCGGGTGAATAAACCCCTTGTCAAGCAATTTCTGCAACTAAATTTTTAACTCTTTCATTTTAGTAGTGGACATGCGATAGGGAGTTTTAGAGATTGGTTGTGTACCGGGTATTACATCAACTATAAACTCAATTTCTCTATCTACCAGTTGTCTAGGTAACTCATCAAGAAACACATCAGGAAATTCCTTCACTACCAGCATACTGTCTAGGGTGACATCCATGGCTTATTCAGTTATTGCACAACACAAATACCCTTGACAACCCTTCTTAAGCAATTGACAAGCTTTCATTGCAGGAATCAAGTAAGATGGAAGTACTACACCATTACCCACAAACACTATTTCATCATGTCCTGGAGGTCTAAACAAAAACCATTTCGTTGCATAATCAATAGTCGTACAATATTTAGATAACCGGTCCATTTCCAAAATCACATCAAAATGTCTAATATCAAGGGGCAATAGATCCACAAATAATGTCACATATTTAACACGTATTTCACAAGCACAATATACAAATAAACATAAACCAGGTGTCTCAGATGGAGTAGATACACATAAATATATGGCAATGATTCCATGGATCTATTTAATCTATGTTCAAACACAGAAGATACGAAAGAATGTATCGAGTGTGAATCAATTAACACATATGCATCTAGATTGCAAATAGGGAGAGTACCTGAAACCGCAGCCTC